CGCACTACTAGGCGGTGAAAAAGAAGCTAGAGACAAGGACAATGACTGCAGCAATTTTCGTATCACTAAATGCGTCACTCGTAGTCGCTGCAACCATTGAAGTTTTCTCTGCTCTCTTTAGCGCTGCTTGACAGCATGTTCTCAACCAATTGCAAAGGGTACGTAAAAATATTTCTTTTTACTTATAAAAGAGGAAAAGTGCGGATTAGCTGGGATAGTTCCGAAGGCAAACGTTTACCATTTCAAAGGTTTGGTCAATGAAGGAAAAGCGGTCCTGAATTGTCCTTGTATTTAATTTTCCATTTATTGCTGATCTTTTCCAAACTGATAAATAATTTTTCTTTTCCGGTGTCGTTTGCGGTATCTGTTTCATTACTTAATTGTTTTCACCTGTGTTTTGTGGAACTAAAAGTTTTTCTTCCATTAAATGCAATTGCACTTTGAAAATTTCTCAGGAGCAGGTTAAATTACATCTTGGTAAGCTTAAATGTATGATTTTAAAAGCGGCAACAAATTTGAAGGAAACGGTGATGGTCTAGTACCGATAACCGGAAGAATCAATTGGCGATAACCAGCCACCGACGGACCAACTGACCGGTATGCTGGCAAGGGTGCCATATCAAAGTGCCTCTAAAATCGTCTGCGACTTTAGATGGGTTGGACGTGTTTTTACTGACAGCTAAAAAACTGAAGTAAACACCTGCATTTATGTGAGCCGTTCATATAGGCACTTGAAGGAGGTGTCAATGAATCATAAGGGGTTTGAACTTTCCTAGTACCATAGACTTCAGCAACCTCTAGAGATTTTGAAGGAGCTTCCTCTTCATTAAACACTGTCTGGTCCCAAGTCTGTTTCATCCAATTTTAGAATTGTCGTATATGCTCAAGTAACGCATATTCGGATTGTTAATTCGCTTCCACAAACGCATTTTAGCGGCCCGCAGTATGAAGACACAAATCAACTGGTACCGTCAGGAACTTTTTGCTCAGTGAACAGATTGTTGCTAAATGATATCGCAAAACCTTAAAAAGGCGACTAGTTATGACTAAGGCACAAAATTTTTGCTATTAGCGCTTTTTATCTCGCAGAGTTAAACAATACTCGGTACTTCTGCAGACTTCCGGTTGTATGGAACCCGTTCAACTTAGAGGGTGAGGCGCAGAGACTGCTCATTACTTGGCTCCTAAGAAAAGGGTTCAAGGGTACAAAAAATTTATGGTTATTAGCCATATTTTTTAGTGCTTTCCCTACATAATATACAAAAATTATACAAAAGGTTAACAAAGTGTTGCGTCACACTTCCCAGTCTTTTGGTTTAATCTTGAAAAGGCAACAGTAAATCTTTAATATCAGTCGCTAATATTTTTGTTCACAAATTACTTGCCCAGCTTTTTCATTTGATGTAAGAAACTGCAGTTGAGAAAGAGAGAGAATCAGTTTTTGCGTAGCAGTTAGTGATATGTAAAAATTCTGCCAGTCTCCGTGAACCTTCTTCTTCAACTGTATATACGTTTCCGGCGCGAGAGAAAGGAAATATAGACGAAAACTTTTGAGTTTGTATTTGTCTGGAGCCCTTCTCAAAAGCGCAGTTGAAGGATTGCTTTCGGCTCAGTTTATTACATCACCAATTAGTACAACCTTAACTGTGGTCGCGCCCACTTAGGAAAGTACCAGCGCAAATTGGCAAATTGCGGAAGATCCGCACTTTTAGAACGGTAGTTCTGGATAGGTTTTTGAAAAGACCTAACAGCCCCGCAAGTTGACTTTGGCATGTTTCAAAATATATTAAAGGCATCATTTTCTTGTGCAAAATGATGCTTTTGAAACCAACCCAAAATTCTACTCCCATAGACTGAGCGGCTCCACTTGGATGATTTTTAACGATCTGAATGCTACTTTTGTGTGACGACTGCCGTTCATTCTGACCCTAGTAGTTCTTTCACTTTTAAGTCAACAACTGTTTCACCAAATCCTGTTTCTGGCTACATCAGTAATAATTTGACGTTTTTCACTATGCTTAAAACTACATCACTAGCTTATTACAATATTCATTCAAAGCATTTCAGGTTACGAATAAAATACGGAGACCCATTAGCGCTTATAATGAAATGCCTAACAGTTAGGCTTAATCCTGTACGAGAACGTGTAGTGTATTTATATATTTGAAAAACACTTGCACCAGTTACCGTGCGCATTAGTGACTACGGGCTACCATTTGCGATCAAGATGTTCATCCGAATCCAACCTATCCTTAAAAACAAGTTTATCTTCTCAAAAGTCTGACAAAGTCCTACTAAAAGATAAACCTGACTTGCTCGGCCTTCCACCGGCAATGACAAGAGCGCTAGAGACACTCAAAAGCTGTGATCTCTCGCCCACAAAACTCAGAACAGAAGAAGTCTCGACCTAATCCCACTCTAGTCTCATCATGTACCACTAAGCTTACTGAGGAAAAATAGACGAGACCACCAACTACATCCACATCCACAGCCATCCTTTTAACAACAATTGCTCCAATCATGCATTTCTTTTTGGAGACCACGGCTGAAATCCAATCGTCTTTTTCAACTCTCGAATCCCGAAGTGCAACCTGAGGCTTCGACATCACCCCTTTTACATGCAATGACGTACGATGGAAAATAAAGGTGTATTTTAAACCAATGAAAAATTTATATACAACTGTCGATAACTACCTGAACACATTAAAACATTAGCAACATGTGTGCCACGTTTTGACAGTGCATTTAACAAGGACAGTAAAATGCAAAAACTAACAAGACTCAATATGCATGACTTATCACTCATGTTCAACATTTATTTCAGTATCCTTGAGTTTTTCAGTTCCTGCAGGGGGATTGTATGGCGCTTTGATCTGCAGCACACCATCAGATGTAAATCGGCACGTCAAATCTGAAAAGTGTATTGACAATTGAATTCACCTACAGAATGAAACTAGCTTCAAAAAGGGGAAGCACAAGATTAGTACGCAAGAAGTAAACAGCAATAAACCTTAATAACCTTTTGCAACGACTCCATCCGGCAACTTCAGTTTCCTAGTAAATTCATATTTAGCATTTTCTTCGTTATGTTTGGCTTCAACGGTCAATGTACAGTCTTTGTCAGATGTTTTCACTGTTATCTGAAACACCCACTCTTGAAAGGACAGCCTCAAAAGTGACAAGAGGACTGAAAGAGCGAGAAAATAAATCACCTCCTCGGGTTTAAATCTGCGAACATCGAACTCCAGCATAAACTTTTTTGCACCATCTTCTTCAATTATCGGGTTTTGCAAACGATAAAGCTCCCTCGCTGTAGGGTGTTCATTTTCTCGAAATGGGAAAAACTCACCCCACCATCCACGAGTGGAACCTAAAAAAAGAAAATAATTTGAATAATCAGAAAAAAAAAATGCAGTCTCTCTGTTGCATCAACGTTTACTATACAGATAAAAGATTTTACCAAAAACTTTATCAAATTGGCGCTCCAACTCACGCAGCTGATTTTCATTTCGAAACGGTACAGGGAAACCTGAAATCCACGGCTGGAAGAAGTAACCGCGCTTACATACAGTACTTGGGAACTGCGGTCGAATTAAAGCCTTGACACATGGCGTACCACGAGCAAAAAGTTGTCGCCACATACTCCTTCTACATAATCACACATTTAGAAGAACTCAATAGCATTAATAAAACCACGACTTAAGAAACATTTAAAAAAGAAAAAAAATTACTGTTACTGCTCAGAAGCAAATATTTCTCATGGAAAATTAAAATACTAGGAAATCAATAACAGTAAATAAACAGCATAAAAACAGAGCGAAGGTTCAAAAACTTTTAAAAACACCGTTAATAAATTTTAGCTTATGAAGACGATACTAGCAGAACAAGTTTAAAAGCATAAAACGGAACTGGAACTTTACTACACGCATCAATGCATATATATAAGAGAAAAATTTTTCTGATGCAATGCTGAGTAAGGATAACGAAACTGAGCAAAGAACGGCGTTAATATAGAGCTGCAGAAAGTTCTTGAATGTTCTCGACTTTTAAATATGTTGCGAAAGAAAAACTATGAAATAGTGTGCGAACCAGCAGTGTACTTTAAAAACGTACTTTCGCTATAAAGATAAATTTTTGAAAGTGAAAAAATTTGGCAAAATTCCCTCTTAGAAAAATATTCTTTCTTTTGTTGATACTGCAGAAGATGAAGTGTGTTGATGTAGTTGACTTTCGGCTGGTAATATCATTTGTATATGAATGTTGTTTCATTTTTGTTACAATCTTTGTTCTATTTCTTAACTGTTAGATTCCATTTACCTGCTAGTTTGAGTTGGTAGTGTTATTTCATTGAAAAAATTTTTCTCTCGCTGTTTTCCTACTTCGCTTGTTAGCTTTAACCATAGATAATCAAAAAAGTAAAGCTTCTTTCACAAGAAAATAACAGTAAATAAACTATAACACAAAACTTAAGCAACCGCATTTTAATAGTAACAAGTTTTGATTTGTACTGTTCAGTTATATTATTAAAGCATATAATGTAGCCGCCGTTATCCGCATTTTCTTAGTGTTCATATTTCTTATCTGTTACATTGTTTACTTTTGAAGAACTTTAGGTTTTTTTCATAGCCCTTAATTGTTATCAGTTTTAATGGATATGCCAACAAGTATTGCTGAAAGTGGTTCTGAATCCGAAGAGGATTATATGTCCGAGGCATTTATAGCAAGTGTCTCTAACGTTCGTCCAGGTTTTTACTTAAATTTTTTACACGCTTCTGCGTTCTGATCCGTCTCTTTTTTTTTTTACCGTTGCTTCAAAAGATTTCTTTCTTTTTAATTACAATGAGGAGTTCCAGACTTTTGTGGGTGAACCAGAAGAATGTCGCATATTGTTGTTTAGCTTTTTTTTTTTTTTATCTAGGACTTGCCAGAACAGTTTATGAGCAGAGAGCACTGAGAATTGAAGCAAGTAAACAGGAAAATATTCAGCGGTTGCGCAGTTTACCTCGTCTGGCTGACCTTGAAAAGGAAAAACGAGATGAAGGATTGGCGAAACCCGTAGGCGAAGGGTCTAAAGGCTTTGCTTTATTGCAGAAGATGGGTTACAAACCAGGAATGAGTTTAGGGGTGAAACGTGATGGTCAGTTTTCTAATAAAGATATGCTAAGGGTTGATTCGTTCTGTTGTGCTTACTGTTGTTTATTTTGCTTCATTGTATTGGAAGATTCGTGATTAACGGCGTATAGGATCTTGCAGTATAAAAAAAATTTTTGTTGGGACGCCTTCGTTGTGAATCATTTTCTTAAAGTCGCTATGCCTTTCTCAGTTTTCAAAACGATAGATTTGCTGTCAAGATTTACCTTCACATCAGTTTAAAAATTAGCTTTTTTAGACTTTTGTGTTATGCTGGAGAATACCACTTTAAACTTAAAAGATTTTGCTGATTGGGTGTCGATATAAATTTCTTTCACGTTGTGCGTTTATACCTTCATTTTGCTTTAGGAACGAATGAAGGGATAAAGGAGCCTATTGGAGTCAATATAAAAACTGGTCGTACTGGTCTGGGACATGAAAAAGAAGAAGAGTCGAAAAAGAAATTTCAAGCTGAATTGCTCCTCAAAGCTTCTTTGGCAAGGTCGAAGGCCAATGTACATAGTGTTTTACTTATTTTTTCTGTTAATTTTAACTTTTTGGTAGTACTGCTGTGAATCATTCAGCAAGGTTGAGATTTCTTCGCCGTTTGAAATTTAGTACCTCAACTTCAAGTATTTCAGCTTTGTTTATTAGGTGATTTTCGAAAAAGAAAGCGTGCTGCCAAAATACAAAAACAAATATTTGCGGACCTGATGAAAAGCAGAAAAGCATGCGAAGACCTTGATGTTCGGTTGGAGTTTGAATTTGATGTTTAAATCATGTCTTCGTCCATGTTTGCATAGTAGAACTCGATGTTACTCTTTTTTGTATTTGATATTTTGAAATGAGTTTTTGATTTTATCTGTAGAAAAGGGATAAAAGATCCGTTAGAGCCGGAATTCTGGCCGATATACGAATCGAAGGATGAAGCAAACTGTTCCCAGCATAGTAAGAGAATACTGCTGGATCACACGGATAGTGAACCTATTTTCCGCTACTCCAATGGCAAATTGGCTCCATCTGAAGTTCGGTTTGATGAACTGCACGAGGATGAGCTCATGGACAGGTGAATGTTTCTTAGTTTCTTATTTTTTCTTTCACTCTTCGGCCCTGTTACATTTTGGTGGCTCTATCGCATTTATGAGTTGTAATGAAGCATTGCCATGTTTATTATAATTGTTGTTCATTCTCTTCAATGACTAGAAAGAAAATTGAGCCTTTGAAGTGAAGAACTCCCATGTTTGCACCCTTGTCTTCGTCCTCAAGTGATTTATGAAGTTTATTGTTTGGAACTGTTTTTTTAATTTAGGTTAGAGGGTATTACCTCTTACTTGAGAAAGGAACATTTATACTGTACATGGTGTGGGTATCAGTATGATTCAGTGGATGATATGGAAACTCAGTGTCCGGGGAATACTCGTGATGCTCACGAGAATGACAGCGGTGACTAACAAATGGAGCTTTACAATCACCGTTTTCTCTGCATAAGTATCAATTTCTTCGTAGGTTGTTAACATTTAGTTAACAAACAAACAGGGAAAACGCCAGGCTTGTTATGAAGAATGTCGAGACTTTACCAATAAAGCGAAAGACAGAGTTCCTAGCTATATCTGTTGTGCGTCTTTTTACATCTTATGCAAAGCGAAACGACCGCACTCTGCTGTTACCGTTGTTCCAACAGTTTAATACCCGGTTTGATATCACTGGTGTGCATTCTTGGTGCCAGTTTTACAAAGCTGACATTAGAATTTAAAAGTAATTATGGAATTTAATTTATATAGATTCAAATGTTTTGTATAAAAACTAAATGAAGTGTAATCGGTTACTGATGAATGCATTGAAGGACTGGCTGTGGGAATCTCAAAATGTGAGTTCGAATTATTTGGATAAGCAATTGGAGTTGTAAGGTACTAGAATCGTATTGCTTAGAAATCTTGTTCGGTGTAAGTGTGTGTTCATTAGAGTGTTATTAGGTATGATTTTTCTGGATGCTTTTCAAATCTTTCAGAAAATCTTATTTCATAATTTGTTATATGTTTTACAAATGTGCTGTGATAGATTTTGATTTGACATGTGTCAGTT